TATTAGGCTTTATCGATACAGCCTGGCAAAATAGTTATTAGGTTTTAATTTAGTCTTATATAATATAATATTTATTTTTAGCAATTAAAATAAGCACTAATTTTAAAACTTATAAAATTTTAAGAAATATTATATAATAACTTTGATTTTTCATTCAAATAATTTATTTTGAATTCGTAATATCCACGCGATATACAAAAGAATTACTAATTTATTTATGAATTTATCAAGGATTACTACAGTATAAAAGCATGGATGCATCCATTCTACTATGTAGCTATATATGCATAGAAAGTTACCTAAAATGGCCTTCCCTTGTTCTCACACTTTCAGATTTTTACTTTTACAGGACCATCAGTTATTGGCTCCAAATTTAAGAAACTATCGACCCCATTTTGGCTTACACGGTTTCACTCAACTTCATCTATGTGCCACTCAGAACCTTCCCTCACTCAGAGGCCGTTTGGGAAATAACTTTTGGGTTGGTGGCTTAGATTCCTTAATTGAAAAATAATACAAAAAATATTTTTAAAAACTGTGTCTAGTTTTTATCCTTTATATAAACCCAGCTTAATATGACCTTTCATCATCGAATTTCTCAAACAGAAATCTAGGATCGAGTTTAGATTTTAAAAATGGGCCGAATAAAAATTAGGATGGGCGATAATGTGAATCCTTTTTCTGAATGCATGCATAACAAAAACTTTATAGAACCATATTAATTATTGAAAAATTAGAAAGATTCAATACTTATAAAAGATGGATATGAGATCATAAAACATGTTTGATTTTTTTGAAAAAAAAAAAGTTTTTTGTTTTTAAAAACAAAATATAATACATGCTTAAATATTTCTAGAATTTTATAAATGATTTTATAAAATAAATTAAATTGTTTTTAATTACTTTAATTTTATCCAATGAAAATGTGCCTAAAGATAATCTTCACCCCGGCTGACATTTGCTTGAATTTTCGAAACTTGGATCATCAATATAGGAGGTCCAAAATGCCACGGATTGGATTTTCGGTGTAAAGAATAAGATCTATTATACCTTACCTTTGAAAGTTTAGAGAGAAAATAAAAAAATAATAATTTGAAAGATAAGAGAGAAGAAAATAAAAGAAGAAAACAAGTTAATATAAAATTCCTAATTTAGAAGAATTTCAAAATATATAATTAAGAGAGTTCTAGAAGATTTATAAATTTTTTCTTTTTATTTTAAAACTGTTAAACATAGCTACACATTATATAAACTTTTCCTTCTCTTTTTTTTTTAAAACTAACTTTTAAACAAAGTTTTAAAAAGTATTTCAGATAATTAAAAATAAGTTCTCATTGCTGACAAAAAGAGAAAAAAAGAAGTCTCTTCTCCTATTTTTCTTGACCAAAAAATAAAAATTATCAAGAAAAAAGGGACAAATTACGCGTAAAATTTTACATAAATGATTTGACAATTTTCATATTTTTAAATTCTTCTTAAATATTATTAAATGTGCTCAGTTTTGTTTTACTATTTTGTTGTCAATACCAAAAGCTTTTCATAATTATTGGGGCGGAGTTCTTAAATGTCAATTTTGACACATTTATATAATTCATTTTTAAATTTCATCTTAAATTTTAAAAATGTCTTAGTTTTAATTTATTTCTGATATAATAATAGTACTTTTTTTATATAGATGAAGATGACATCTACTGGACTCTTTTTTTATGAGAAGTCTTTATAGGAATTGATCTTAATTTGTATGAGTTTAATTTTAATATACTGTTAATATAAATAAATTTATACCACCAACCAATTAAAACATATTCATGTAAATATAACTTTTAAATTAATTATTTCAAAAATTCGTAATTTTCATTGACTTAACAATTTACATTGGATAATAATGTAAAAAAAATTTAAACTATTACTGTATTTTACTTTAAGTTCATTTGTATTAGAAAAAAAGAAACCCAAATCCCACCCCCATCTAGTTATAATTAATTTACAGAAACTAAATCGAGTTGATTCTTTTGATTTTGTGAACTGGTTACTACTTTTGAACTGATTTTTTGGTCCATAGCCAATTCAAAAACTGTGGTTTAACTGCAGCCTATAACCAATTTAAAAACTGGTTCTACTGTAAACTGAAGTTCAAAAACTGGTTTAATAATTATAACACAAATATAAATATAAAATCGTAAAGGCCATACCTCCAAAATAGATTTTCGATTGCTATAATTGTTTGCTTAATAAGAGTAAAGTAATTCAAATAATATTTGATTGTTAAAAAATGTGTTATATTTTAGCAGTTAAATTAATGATTAAATTTATATTTTATTTTTGGAACCAGAACAATTGATTACTAATTCAGTTTTCAGTACTTTTTTCTTTATCTTTTTATAATAATTATTATTTGCCAATCAATTTTTTTTTTTAAATGTGTGCCATCAACAAATTTATTTTTTAATTTAAATATTTTATCTCTTTAATTTAGTTATATATAATATAATCTAAAATTTGTTTTTAACAATATATTTACTATTTTAAAACTTATTAAATTTTAAATAATATATTAATGTGTAATTTTTATTGAAAAATTATTTTAATTTAATAATATTAATACAAAATTTTTACTAATTTATTCATAAACTTATAAAGGATTAATACAATAGAAAAGCATGGATGCACCCATTCTACCAAGTAGCATGGTAGAACTAGTCTTTAATTAACCATACAGCATGAGAAAATGAATTCATGTTAGCAGGTTCAACTAAGTTAAGCATATTTTCCGTTCTCCTCCAGAACATAGAAAATAATCAACCAATTACATTGTTTGCTTAGCGATAAGATTACATGTAATTTCTTTCTAAACAACTCATTATAGGATAGATCTCCCCTTTATTACGAGCTGTGGTCTAAGCAAGTCATGCTTGATACACCTTCTTCGTTTTGTGCTGTAAATTGTTACTTTCAATAATTTAACTCTGATTAGTTTTTGGTTAATAAGGGTTTATTTTAAATATATGAAATAATTTATAAATAAATTTTAATTATATAAACCCAATGAGTATTTTAACAAGAAATAAAATAAAATTTGGTGAACTTGTTTAATTTAAAAAAAAATAAAGTAAAAAATTATAATTTTTAAGAGAGTAAAAATTTGTATATTTAAATTAAAGATCATTATTTTTAGTATAAGACAATATATATTACTAAATAAAACTCTTTATTAATTTCATTAATAGATAGATAAATTAAAAAAAAATTATAACTATATATAGTTAATAAAATGTTAAAAAAAATTTCATATAATAATTTTATTATTATAATTGAATGGAGATTAAATATGCTTAGATAATTCGTTTTATAGATAAAAGAATTAATCCAAAAAACCACCATAAAAATCGGTTAACCTTTTGAGTCGATTAAATATACTTCATTTAAGGGGCAAGCTTGGTCCGGTATGGTTCCCATTGATTGACTAGAAGAAGTGCAGTCTCCCTTTCTACAAATTATAGTGCTAAGCTACATCTTCTTTACATTAATTATTCTCTCTCTTGACTTTGTTATCTATAAACAATTTACTCCACCTATAAAACATATAATTTATAAAGAAATTGTGTAATATTGAAAATGACAAGAATTATATAATAATTTTTATTAAAAATGATAAAATTTAATGTTATTTAATGTATTAACAATATTAAATGTTACATATTTTTTATAAAATTTTGTTTTACGTCTTTTTTATTCTATACAATGTCATACATGTTAAGAAAATTATTTATAAATTAAGCACTATTTAAGGATTTGATTGAGACCAATTTGCACGTTGTAGGACGACCTTATTATAGGAGTGATAAAGCCTAAATTATCAAGGTCATCACCCAATTTGTTAGCGTGGAGTTTCAGCTTGAAACAATAACATGAAAATTGAACCAAATGCTGGGCCATGGATTTCTGTTTTTTTATACATTCTCCTATATTGTATTCTTATGAATTTCTTAATTATTAAATGAAAATATTAGTGATAAAAAATTCAGTTTCAAAGTTTAAATGAAAATACAATTACTTATTTAGTTACTAAATTGTCAAAAAATATTCTATAACTGATTTAGCATCGAATTCATGGTTTTATTTTTTCAATTAAATATTTTGTTGCTAAATAGTTTATTACATTTTGGCAAGCAGATTAATGATTCAATTCAGATTTGACTTTTGTGACTAAAATAATTAGCGGTTGCTAAATTTTTTTATCCTGTTTTCATATTTTAACCTTAATTTTATCATTCAAATAATTTATTTCGATTTCGTAATATCCACACAATATAATGTGATTTTTTAAAATGATTTAATAAAAAAATAACATGTTAAAGATAGAATAAAAAAGTGTCATTTTCTTTTATAAATTTCTCCGTTTTGCAAGTCGTGCTTGCCATTGGTTCTTTACATAAATTCTTTCTCTTTTGGTTTTATCATTTTTGTTGTCTTCCATAAATGGTCTCTATCAATAATTACATACTAATAATCAAGTGAGTCAAGAACTTGTAATTCATACACTCAGCCCCTTTCCATACGTTAGATTTAATTGTTGGAGCAGATCTTCCAATTATGGGACCTTACAATGGGAGAGAGAAAGATCAGCTCTTTCAAATCACAAATCTATTTGGTCATTACATTAGCGTAATGTGTTGTCTCTTACGAGTTCGTGGGCAAATGTATTCATTAAAAAGTAATAAAGAATTTTTGAAAAGAATTTTATTTGCTTTGACATAGTTTTCAACTTATTTCTTATCGAGTCGCTACTTTCTATTTGATAGATTGGAGCGACTTCCTTCTTTTTGCTTATGTGACAGTTTGTATGCCATTAAAAATTATTAGATGCTATCTTTTCTATCAATGTATGGGCCGTAGTTAGTCCTTTGCATAGGAAGGATCCTCCAGTAGCTGCATCAATTATAGCTCTATTATAAGAAAAGAGTCTAGCATAGAAAATTTGCATTTATTTCAACACAAGGAAACCATGATGTGGACATCTCCTTAGAAGTTCTCCAAAAAAGCGCTCTCACATCTCAAACAGAGATTCAAATTCATATTGTTGAAAATTAGAGATCTCTATCATCAGATTTGCATAGTGTTATAGTGAAAAATATTTGGCTAAGAATTATTGTGTTAGGCTATCCCACTTGTAATTGAATTAGATAGAAGAGTGGAGAACCATGCGTTTACCCTTTCCGTGACAGATAATGGAAAGAGGCGAAGCCTTATAGCATCTTTGGTGACACCATTGTATTTGATGGTATCAGTGAGTCGGAGAAGCTTTTTCAGATGAAGGTGGGGGTCTTCATCAGGTCGCCCCGAAAACAGTGTGGAGTTCTGGACTAGATTGATCAAGGCCGACTTTAATTCAAAATTATTAGCCTCTATGTCAGGTGCTACAATGCTCCCGGCATCACCCTCAGCAGTGGGTGTCATATATTCCAAGATTGGCAGTTCTTCTGCCATCTTTTTCTTTTCTTTACACTCCTTCCTTAGCTTATGTGCGGTCTTCTGGATTTCTGGATCAAAAGCGAGTTCTGCAATAGATTTAGAATGAGTGAGCATGAAATAAAATTAAAAAAAAATGTTTAAATCAACTAAATACTCGATTTTCTTTGATATTGAAAACTAATCCCAGCAACAGCACCAAAAACTTGTTTGTGGGCAAGTGTACCCATCAAAAAGTAATAAAGGATTTTCAAAAAGAGTTCCCAAATTATCGTCCCACAGAGATTATTTTCAAGTACCAAGAATAGCTTGATTCGATTGTTTAAACGTAATGGGATTGTAATAGACTAAAAATAGAGCTTAATTTTAACAATAAATTAAAAGAACAGTAATAGAATGTATGAGAAAGATCAAATGAGATGAGCCTAGGACTTATGGGTTCACCTACTACACTTCTTTATGTTCTAATTAATTTAATTCTGATATTGGTATTTAAATATTTGCCAACCACTCATAATTAGTTCTATTAACACCCAATGATTATGTAATGTCAATATTTTTTTCTCTGAGCAAACACCCCCAATGATCATGTAAGGTAATTGGTCGAGAAAGCATGAAGATCCTATGAGTTTGTTAATTTAATAACGGCTGAAAGAAAAAAATTAAGTATGATTAACCTAACCCCTTATCTCGTTTTATTCTATAGTTTCGTTAATTACAAATGGTACGATCGCTTACAATGCAACTAACTATGAGATGCTAAGGGTGATTAAATCTTAACATACATAATATAATTCAATAGAATAAAACTAAACATTAAAAGAAAACTAATACCAATATTAAAGTAAAAATCACTAAAGTTTGTAGTAAGATTCGCCGTAGTCCTAGCTGTGGGTTTAGTTACTCATAACAAAATAAACTACGAAAAACGTGATAAATAAACCGATAATTACAAAGAAAAACTCAAACAAAAGAAACCCAGAAAGGAAAAAGATAAAAAAAGATCTCATTCTCTGAAGGGTGCTCAATCAGTTGCTTGGATTCCAAGAGGAAGCTCGTCGTCCTTCCCAATGGTATCTAATGACTCTCAAATATGAGTGTAGTTAGAACTAAGAAAGGGAAGAAGGTATATAAAGAAGTCGAAGTGTCAAGTATGGAGCATAAGGCCTCTTTATATAGGTTGTGACCTGAGTTTTGAATTGGTTGAGTTTCAAATCGATTTTATCCACAATCAGAATCGCTCTAAATCTTCATATCTAAATTTAAATTTTAAATTCAAAATTCAAATTCAACTTCAGATAGCACTGTCAAAGACTAAAAATATCTAATTTTTATCTAAAATATATTCATAATGTACTAATAACAACTTCCAGCTAAATTGTAATAATTAATAATATAATTAGTACAAATATATATATAATAGAATTTAAGTATATAAATATAAGTCATAAAATATATCAAAATATAAACTTATCATTACGTAATTATTATAAATACGTTCATCCAAATGCTTTATAGCATCACCATCTTACTTTATGTGTTAGAACTTCTAAAGAGCCTTCAAATCTGTTTTGCGAAACTATTTATATATTTATGGGGTGGTTTCTGTTTCTTTTCCAATTGAGTTTCTTGCTTTTCCATTTTCCTTCTTACACTTCTTCATTGATGCCATTGTGCCACCATGATGAAGCCTCTGCCTTGCTTCAATTCAAAAACTCATTTAGTCTCAATAGCTCTTTGTCTTCTATATACAGTGCTGCAATTGGCGAGTCTTCATATCCGAAGACAGAATCATGGAAAAATGATACGAATTGCTGCTTGTGGGAAGGGGTGAGTTGTGACACAAAGTCAGGGCATGTGATTGGCATAGAGCTTAGCTGTAGTTGCCTTCAAGGCCATTTTCATCCCAACACCACTCTCTTCCAACTCACTCATCTTCAAACGCTCAACCTTGCTTTCAATTCTTTTTTTAATTCTCCAATGCCTTCTGGATTTGGTAATCTTCTCACTCTTACACATCTAAACGTATATTCTTCTGGTTTCAGTGGTGTTATTCCCTCCAAAATCGCTCGCCTTTCACACTTAGTCTCACTTGATCTCTCCTCATACGAAATGACAATTAGAGAATCAACTTTGGTAAAGCTCATTGTAAACGCAAGCGAGCTAAGGGAGCTAACTCTTGATCACCTGAATATGTCTTCCGTTAAACTAAGCTCTCTATCTTTGCTACTGAATTTTTCATCCTCTTTGGCCTCTCTTAGTCTTAGTTATACTGGGTTGGAAGGGACGTTACCAAACAAAATACTCTGTTTACCCAATCTTCAAAAGCTTGATCTGTCTTGGAATTATATTCTCACAGGTGAACTTCCTAAGTTCAACAATTCGAGCACTCCTCTCAGACACTTGGATCTCTCCTTCACTGCTTTCTCAGGAAATGTTCCCAGTTCCATTAGTCGTTTGAAGTCTCTTAACTATTTGAATTTTGGTGATTCTATGTTCGAAGGACCCATTCTTCAATTTTTGTCAAATCTCACACAACTAAAACACTTGAACCTTGGTTGCAACAAATTCAGCGGAGAGATTCCTTTATCATTTTCAAATCTTCAAAATCTCACTTACTTGGATCTTTCTAACTTTGACTTCAAGGGACCAATTCCACAAAGTGTGGGGAACCTTACCCAACTAAATTATCTGCACCTTGCAATGAATAATTTTAGTGGTGAGATTCCATCGTTGATTTTCAAATTTCAACATCTCATTTCCTTGGATCTTTCAGGAAATAAGTTTGGTGGTGAGATCCCCGATTTGTTTGGCAAGCTTAGCAAATTAGAATATGTATCTCTTTCCTCAAATAATCTTGTAGGCACATTGCCATCATCAGTTTTTGGTTTGACTCAGCTTCGTGATTTTGAATGTTCAGACAATAAATTAGTTGGCCCAATTCCGAACAGAAGTAGTGGACTTCCAAATTTAGAGTTTCTAACTTTGTCCAATAACTTATTGAATGGAACAATTCCGCTTTGGTGTTTTTCTTTGCCATCATTGATTCAGTTATCTCTAAATGGCAACCACCTGAGTGGGCCCATAGGTGAATTCTCTTATTTTTCTTTGATTTATTGTGATCTCTCTTATAACAAGCTACAAGGTAATATCCCAGAGTCGGTGTTTGATCTACCGAATCTATCAGGGTTGCGTCTATCATCAAATAACTTGAGTGGCCTCGTAGACTTTTACAAATTTTCAAAGCTCCAGTACCTAGAGCTTCTCGATCTTTCTTACAATAATTTTCTCTCCCTTAATTTTGACACTGGGGGTCACTACAACTTCTCCAACCTCAAAGCAATATATTTATCTTCAAATAATATAAATAGTTTCCCAAACTTCCTCTGTCGCATGCAATATCTTGAAACTTTAGTCCTATCTAACAACCAAATTCATGGGAGGATTCCAAAATGTTTTAATAATACGGCAAAAGATACATTATTTTATTTGGATCTTTCTCATAACCTTCTAACATCCCTTGGGCATCTCTCACTCTCATGGACAACGACATACGTTGATCTCAGCTTCAACATGTTGGAAGGAGGTCTTCCGATTGCCCTATATGGATCTTACTTCTTTTCTGTCTCAAATAACAAATTGACTGGACACATTTCTTCAGCTATTTGCAATGCAACCGTCCCCAGTATACTCAATTTGTCCCATAACAACTTGACAGGCAAGCTTCCACATTGCCTTGGAACCCTTCCTTATCTCTCAGTTTTGGATTTGCGAAAGAACAACCTTTCTGGAATCATACCTAAAACTTATTTTGAGACAGAAGCGTTGGAGACTATGAATTTTAATGGCAATCAATTGGAGGGACCATTACCTCGAGACGTGGCCAAATGCAAACAACTAAAAGTTCTGGACTTGGGGGAAAATGACATACAAGATACATTTCCTAGTTGGTTAGAGTCCCTTCAAGAGCTACAAGTCCTTGTTTTACGTGGAAATAAGTTTAACGGTACTATTGACTGTTTGAAAGCCAGGAATATCTTTCCTAAGTTGAGGATTTTTGACGTCTCCAACAACAATTTTAGTGGCACTTTGCCAACAACCTTCATCAAAAACTTCAAGGGAATGATGATGAATGTCAATGATGGCTTGAACTATATGAAAAGGAATTCTACATTCTTTTTTTCATCTAGTTACAACGACTCTGTGGCAGTCAGAATGAAAGGGAACATTTTTGAGCTAGAGAGGATATTAACTACTTTCACAACTATTGATTTATCAAATAACAAATTTGATGGAGTGATTCCAACCGTCATTGGAGAGTTAAAGTCACTGAAAGGGCTTAACCTTTCTCACAATAGAATCACTGGTTTTATTCCACAGTCCTTTGGCAGTCTAGAAAATCTGGAATGGTTAGACCTTTCCTCAAACATGCTCATGGGTGAGATTCCTGAGTCATTGACCCATCTCTCATTTCTTTCTTACTTGAATCTTTCCCAAAACCACCTGGAAGGGATGATACCAACAGGTAAACAGTTCGACACATTTCAGAATGAATCCTATCAGGGAAATCCAGGGCTATGTGGGTTGCCTTTGTCAAAGTCATGCCACAAACAAGAACAGCCGGGTGATTCATCGAGTTTC